AAAAGGTGAACCAAAACAGTCGGCACAATATGTCGCCACTTTTTTAGTGCAATTCTTTGCTCTCATTCTTCCTAGCTGATTTGAATTATTTTCATAGTACACTTTCCAAAATCGCCTTACATTTCGCACACTTCTAGGTTTCTTTTTAAATTCGTGACGACGTTTTTTCGGTACGTAATTGCTCGATGAAATGCAATCTTCGTCATCGGAACATTTCACTAAATACATCGCTAACTTCATCCTAAAATCGGGAATTGAAATATTTTTTCCAGTTGCTTTTTAAACAATTGATAATGGCAAAAATGGTCTACAGCGCCTCGGGGGTCACCGGTGACCCCCGCCACGAAAAATATATTAAACGCGATTATACGACTCATCTTATCTGTTGTAAATAATATTGCAACGTTATATGCATCGCATAATAAAATATTCGTGTTGGCGCCATGGGCGAACCGTGTAAAATGCGCGTGGGAGTCAAGGTGTTAAAAGGAATTTAATGGAATAAGCGCTGAATTATAAATTTAGGATATACAACATACAAATATTAAGAATATACACATTATACTATACTTTTTATTAACCCTTTGCGCTCGACGATTTTTTGACTGAAAGAAGGGTACGAGTTGAAAAATTTTCTGCTATAAGGCTGATGATATTTGTTGAGCAGTAAATAAGAAATCGTATAATAATTAACACGTAGAATTATTTAATTTCGATACCTCGCACACTGTCGAGTTATTTCAAATTTGATATATTAATTAATATCGAGCTTCGAAATTTTATCAAATGGTGAATGAGAAGCGCCTCTCGAGTGCAAAGGGTTAATTCATATTTAGGATAAAGTATTACATTACACTATGTCGCGTGGTATTCGTCAAAACAGTCTAAACACGTTTGTCGTGATTTTGGACGATTGGAACAATAGGTCGTAGTGTTTTCACATTTTTCGTAATTTTCTGTCAATATGTTTGTGAGTGCTAAAACTTCACCAAGTCTGTTACTCTGTTCTGTCGTTTAGTTATTTGCAAAATGCAAGTTTGCTGATAGTAATTCAAAACGATCACGGGAAATTGAAAATTGTACATAGGGTCTGTTGACCAACATCTAACGAGCGGTGTCTGTACTAGACCCATCCAAATAATCGGTTCGATAACGTTCTAGCGCTCAGACAGTAGAATTTGGGCACACTTGACTGTATAGTTTTCGTGCCTTACTATACATAGGCAAACACCCGTTACGATATAAGATAGTTCTTTGGTTTATATTATCATATAGCAATAAGCGCGGTAGTGTAAGCTTTTAATTCTAAGATCGCTAGTGCTTCGTGTTGGAGCCATCGATCTCATAGGCTAAGTTTTCATGTATAACCTTTTTGTACGTTTTGGTTTTTTTTTTTTTAATTATATTATTGTATCAATTCTCGGACGTAATAAACGTATGTTCAAAAAAAAACAAAACAATAGGATTTGGGCCCAGCGAGAAATTCAACCGAATCGCGTTGGGCGACGAACGTGTCAACCCTTTGCACTCGAGAGGCGCCTCTCAGTCGCCATTTAATCAGATTCTAAAGATGGATGTTAATTAATA